CACTCTGTGAGGTGAGTGGGGCTGAGAGACTTCAAAGAAGTGTGACTGGCCCAAGGTCACCCAGCAGCTGCATGTGGAGGAGCGGAGACGCGAACCTGGTTCCCCAGATTACGAGACTACCACTCTTAACCACTACACCACACTGGCAAGGCAACCATCAGACAGCCATCCCACATTCCTAGCTGTTAAGGTCTCACTTTTTTTGATGATGGGACATTGCTCTGTGGCTACATCCAAGAAAAGGAACTTGAATTGTATTTTTGTTCCATTGATGTAAAAAAGATCAGACCAGAACTTTTCTCTTCAAATAAAGAACAGGCTCATATTTAACATCCAGTGTAGTTAGGGGGCAAATATATGTGGGGTGTTGTTTTTTCTTCTTCTAAGACCACATCAGTGAAGTGCATTCAACTGTAACAAACAACTGAGCCTTGAAGGTGCAAATGAGAGAGGCATTGCAGAGATGCCTATTAAATCCATATTCTCTGTTTGATGTTGCTTTATCTTTTGCGGAACAAAGATTGAATGCTCATTATTTATAAGTAAATGGTAATGCCTATCACTTGAAAAGCAGGGTCAGGCACAGGGGCAGTGTGAAAATTAGAGTTATGGATTCACAAACTGACAAGTCCCTACTCTGAGGGATGTGGATTTCTGTCATGAAGGAAAATGTGATAGTGAGCTGCTATGGAGCAATAACCACCTATGGCTATGAAGAGACAATTTCAGCTAACCAGGTTTCCTTCAGATGTTTTGAACCAAAACTCCCATCATCCTTTGACCATTGGCCATTATGGTTGAGGAAGGCTGGTCTGTTTAGTTCAGTATTCTGACTCCCAGCACTGACCAGTTAGATGTCCATTTCTTCCCTAAAATGGTTTCTTAAAAACCATTTAAAATAATAACTTTCTTGTTTTTCTTCATGGAGGGCACTTCATGGAGGAGTACACCTTTGGAGGTGAAGTCAAAGAGACCAATGTGGGAGAAACGTGTTTATTGTAGGTGGGGCAGATGAAGGTGTTCAGTTGCCAGGTAACTCACAGCTTTCCTGCTGCATTTATGGAAACTAAAATTTCCCAGGATAGGCATAGAAAAGCTGTACTGCAGGATGGTATTTTGGACAAGTTTAATGTGCTACAGGTATTATTTTCTCAAGGACATTTTCAATGCATTTATAGTTAGCAACTTTGCAGCTCATACAGTATCAGATTTAAATTAGAGCAAGATCTCTGGAATTACTGGAAATTTGCAGACAATTCCTAGGCTAATTTTCTTGCTGTTGATTAATGTCAGTAGCAATGCATATTGAAATGCCATTCACTTTCCCAGATAATATTGGTTTCTAATTTGATTATCATATTAGCTGTTCAGTGACTGATTCACAGCCTAGCTAGTAGGGGAAATGATCAACAGAAAGGGCAATCCTTAAACCAGTTTAAAAACCCATGTTCGCACTAAGTTGGTGTGATATTATTGAAGAAAGAGTGAAGTGAACTACAAAGGTCAATGTGCACTAATGCTGGCTTAAATACTTTCCTAATTGTCATCACTTTGTATGTGTACCAGTTCCCCTTTCAGCTCCACAAAAGATGATCAAACGTATTCATACTGCTTCTGAAGAATGGCCAAGAATCATTGTAAGAAGTAGAAACAGATTTGCCCAGGGGAAGAAATTTACATAGGTTCTACGTACAGCATGGAACAGGCATAGGCAAACTCGGCCCTCCAGATGTTTTGGTACTACAACTCCCATCATCCCTAGCTAACAGGACCAGTGGTCAGGGATGATGAGAGTTGTAGTCCCAAAACATCTGGAGGGCCAAGTTTGCCTATGCCTGGCATGGAAGACAGGGGGCTGAGAGAGCAATGGTGACAAGGATTGGAGAAATGAAAGGGTACTTGAGTTGAGAAGGTAGGGTGCTCATTGGAGAATATCCCATATAGGACCTAGGGCACAGTTAGGGAACCTGTGGCTCTCCAGATGTTGATGGATTACAAGTTTCATTCCAGCTGCAATCCACCACAGTGGCTGTGGTTGATTGCAGCTGGAGTCCCCAAGCATCTGGAGGGCCATGATCTGGAGGGTTCCTTACCCCAGCCCCAGGGAGAGCAGAGGCAGCATGAAAACAGAATGGCCTTCAAAAGGAGGGCGAGAGGAAGGTGGGACTAAATTTGACACAGACTATGCAGTTTTACAGAGACGCTGGTGGCACTGTGGGTTAAACCACAGAGCCTAGGACCTGCTGATCAGAAGGTTGGCGGTTCGAATTCCCACGATGGGGTGAGCTCCTGTTGCTCGGTCCCTGCTCCTGCCAACCTAGCAGTTTGAAAGCACGTCAAAGTGCAAGTAGATAAATAGGTACCGCTCCTGCGGGAAGGTAAACAGCGTTTCCGTGTGCTGCTCTGGTTCACCAGAAGCGGCTTAGTCATGCTAGCTGCATGACCCAGAAGCTGTACGCCGGCTCCCTCGGCCAGTAAAGCGAGATGAGCGCCGCAACCCCAGAGTCGGTCACAACTGGACCTAATGGTCACATGTCCCTTTACCTTTACGCAGTTTTAGTAAACCTATTTTCCCCGATATAATGCATGTTTGTTTATTATTTTTCACCAATATATGCATTTCTAAGCACACTTTGCTCTAGTGTATGCATTTCTGTACACAGGTAAAATGCCAATGATGCCAATGTGAGAGAATTAAAAAAGATGGAGGGGCAGTGGGGGGGGGGGAATCAACCCTGTCTCTACTTCCTGCATCAAACTGGCAAGACTTTGATTGTGGCATATCCACTACCAGAGACTCTGCCCCCATCTACCATAGGACTTCAGCCTGTATAACTGAGGTGGGGGCAAGGCACTTTTAACAGTACACATGCACATATAAAATTTATTTTTTTAGAAACTTGGAATGGCCTCACACAGGAAGCAATCATCCCCGGCTATTTACGGCTAATGGATTTCATCTGGGTAAGCAATAGCAGCAGAACTGGCCAATTAGGGGAAAGGTCTGCATTCTTGCAAACAAACAAAAAAAGGTGTTTTTTCTTCTTCACAAGTGCCCATTGCCTGATGTTTTGCCAGACACCTGTACTTGGCAATAAATGAAACAGCTCATGGAACAAGCTTGAGAACTGGAGGCTTTTAAGTGAGACTGTGAAAGTGCTTCCTCTCAAAAAAGCAATGCCTATCCTGGCTTTCAAAGCGTCCCTCAGCCAGCTCAGCAGGAAAGCTTGAGGACGTCAGGTAACCATAAGCAGGCTATTTGTGGGAAATGGGAGACGAGAAAGAAGCAAGGTAATGAAGCATGGCTTCACCATGGCCATTTCCAAGCCTATTTAGGTAGATTGTCTTTCTCTAATTGTTTTTTCCCCTGGAGACAGAGAGTGTGGGAGGGAAGCAAAAAACAGAAATTTCAATACCATAGAGCCAGACTTTATTATTGTATTTCCAGTCTTTCACAAAGAAATATGCACAGTTTCAGAATTGTGGCTAGTAGTGATGCTATCGTTAAAGATTTGCCAGCACTTCTGTTGTCAGACCTTGATATGGAAGGGCTTAGTTGCACTAAGAGCAAACCTGAACATTTTGCAAGCATATTATCCACTTGAAGAATCTTCCATATTTCCCTAGTTTCTTGGTCAGGCACACACACGCAAAGGGGGCAGAAGGATTCCATACCTTCTCCCCAGCCACTGGCTGCATTATCTTCTTCAGAACTCCTTTCCTCAAACCCTTTTTAGTCTGTTTTCAAACATGACAACATCACAAGGGCAGATGAAATATAGGGGCAGCACCCTCACTCTGAAAAGCTTTGTTTTTCTTCAACCCAGCCCATTCCCTAGGGCTCTATCTGTATTATACACTTATAGTAGTTTCATACCATTTTAAATAATCATGGCTTCCCCCAAAGAATCCTGGGGACTGTAGTTGGTTAAGGGTGCTGAGCGAAATTAAGAGACCCCTTTGCCCCTCACAGAGCTACAATTCCCAGTGTAGGTTAACAAACAATCTCTCTTCCCAGGGAACTTTGTGAACACTCACTATTGCCCTTGCACACCCTCCAAAATTTCTCCGATGAAAATTAGGATGTCTTGTGGGTTAAACCACAGAGCCTAGGACTTGCCGATCAGAAGGTCGGCGGTTCGAATCCCCACGATGGGGTGAGCTCCCATTGCTCGGTCTCAGCTCCTGCCAACCTAGCAGTTCGAAAGCACATCAAACTGCAAGTAGATAAATAGGTACCGCTCCGGTGGGAAGGTAAACGGTGTTTCCATGCGCTGCTCTGGTTTGCCAGAAGCGACTTAGTCATGCTGGCCACATGACCCGAAAGCTGTACGCCGGCTCCCTCGGCCAATAAAGCAAGATGAGTGCCGCAACCACAGAGTCGGTCATGACTAGACCTAATGGTCAGGGGTCCCTTTACCTTTACTTATTCAACAACAACAACAACAGTTTTTATTATTTATACCCCTCCCATCTGACTGGTTTGCCCCAGCAACTCTGGGCAGCTTCTAACATATATAAAAACATAATTAAACATTAAACATTTTTTAAAACTTCCCTATACAGGGCTGTTGTCAGATGGTTCGGGGGTCAGATAACTCCATACCCTCCAATATTTCTCTGATTAAAATAGGGATGTCCTAAGGAAAGGTGGGGTGTTCTGGGCAGTGGCGTAGCGTGGGGGGTGCAGGGGGGCCCGGCCGCACGGGGCGCAACATCTGGGGGGGGGTGCGCGCTCACACTCGCAGCTCTCTGCCCCTACCTGGCTCACTCACTCTCTCTCACTGCAGTGCTGGCTGTGCGAATCCGATCCGAGCCGCTGGGTCGCCGCCCACTGTGGAGGGGGTGGGTGCCAGGCGTGCGGTGCGGAGAGAGAGCGAGGGACTACCTGGGGGAGGGACAGTGCAGCGGCCGCCCAGGGCAGCGCTGAGCGGGGGAGAGAACCACACCAGACCAGCCCAGGCAGCAGCAAGAAGAAGCTGGCAGCGGCGGCAGGTTAGGGGGCGCAAATTACTTGCCTTGCCCCGGGTGCTGACAACCCACGCTACGCCGCTGGTTCTGGGATCAAATCAGAAACTGGGATGGCTTCTGTAAATCTGGGACTATCCATGGAAAACAGGGACCCTTGGAGGACCCTTGTAGAACTGAGCAGGGAGGAGGATGGGGACAAAATGAGAATTAGTTGGCTCTGCCTGTGATTGGCTGTCTGCCTTCTACCCTACCAGTCAAAATGGGTACCAGTGATGAGGTGTGAATAGAGGTTGACCCTGGGGAGGGAAGGGCCAGGGGAGAGGCCCGTAGGCCCTCATTTTGCCCCTTGGCATGATATTCCCCTACACCATATGACCTGGGATGGGATTACCTCTCATAGTTCAGTGTATTGGCTAGGCTCAGGGAATGGATCCATCATAACCACAGACGCCGCTGCAGCCTTCTCATGTGACTGCTTGATAATCATGGCCTTTCACATCTTGGCAAGCAAATGGACTTCATTAATGAGAAGGATATTTCAACTAAGAGAAGAGGCAGCTTATTCTCTTCTTATTTAGTCCATTTATTGCCTAATTAGGACCAGTAATTAATGTGTGACCTCTGAGCCATAGTAAAATGGAAACTTCTTGATGCTGTTAATCATGTTAAAACAGTAAAATCAGCAATGTTCGCTGACTGGCAAAATCAATGCTTCTCTCTTCCTTACGCTCACTAGCGCAATGCCAACAGAAGGAAAACCTGAAAGTGCAAGACATATCAAGGAATGAAGAAGTAAAAAGTGAACTTAGACTGCGATCTTATACATGCTTGCCTGGGAGGAAGCCGCAGCAAAAAGATTGCCACTTCCTTCTGAGCAGATATGTACAGGATTGCACTTAGACACATTCATGCTTATGAAACAATGACAGAGGGAAGGAAAGAAAACAATTTTAATCTACTCCCTTGGATATTTAAATAGGTGGGTGGGTTAGCACTATCAAGTCATCGTACAGCAGAGCATGGTGGCTGAAGAGATAGAACACATTTGCCATGATCTAGCACCATCCGAGTGTGAAAATGGTATTTACATGTGACCAGTTCTGCCAGAACGGGGATGGGGAAATCCATTTAAATGTGCATTCAAGCATCCTTTGAAAGCAGTGAAATGGGATAGACGTCTGTGCTCAGATGTGTCATCAGATGTGTAGTCTGACTCACATCCAGTTTGCACCAAGTTTCAAATTCTGATTAGTGTGGCCGGTTGGAAAACAATGCAGGGAATCTGCCCCTTTAATAGTCATGTAGGAGATGGAATCTCAGCAGGTATAATCTGTCATGGAAGTTAGCCTTGCTGAAATCCCTTCTTCTAGACAACTATTAAAGGGGCAGGAGCCCTGTATTCTCCTGCACCTGGAGATACTAATTCCGATCCAAATATCATGCACCCAAAAACTTGCTTTCTTGCAGGCTTCTTCTTCTCTGGTGTTTTGATAGACCTGAGGCCCACTTTCACTCATATGAAAGATTGAACTCTGGAAGTTATGGGAAATGTTTGTACAGTTATCATGGTAGTAATATGCCACATGTGAAACTATCACACATACTGCAGCAAAGCAACTCTGAACAAGTCTAATGTATCCAAACATTCATATTAGGGATATGTCCAGTGGTGTCAGAAATGTCCATCTCAAATAAAGCTATGCAATTCTATCTCGGCTGGCCTATGAGAAAAGTTGCTTAAATATTCTTTTACGCTCCCTACCAACTTCTTCATACAGTATGTTTCACTTGTTAAGAGAATTTTCTTCACACACTTTGAGTGCTCTATACAGAAAAGTAGGGTAAAATATACAGAAATGAAATAACAAATTATCTCGGAACAGCTCTTCAGGCAAAATCTTGAAACAATCTTGGGTAATTTGTTTGTGAGGGCCTCCCCTTGAGAAATTTTGCCCGTCTTATTGATGTGCTTTGGGCTTCCTTCAAAATTCCTCAGATGTTTTGCCTGAGGAGAAACCCAACCCCAATTAATTCTAAATTTTGCTTTAGGCAGAATGTTAGTGTTAACTAAATTTAAAATATTCCCGGGAGCTGTAGCTGGTGCAAAATGCAGCAGTTTGACTGCTTATTGGGCAGTGGCAGACTCTGGGCTTTCACATTTCAGTAATGCTCTGCGTCACCCAGCGCAAATGCACCCAGTGCAACTGCACCCATTGGACTACCCTAAAATCACCTCTTCGCTGGGGTATTGTATCACCAACATGTCTTCCCACCGTTGAATGAATTACACTTGCTGCCAATTAGCCACCAGGCTAAATTGAAGCCTACCTATGAAGCTTGGGAAAGATTGTCTCACCCCTTATAAACCCAATCAATCACGTGCAGGAGGTGAGGGCCTCCTTCAAGTACCATCTTATCAGGAGATTCATTCTGCACAAAATAAAAAAATAGGCCTTTGGTGTTATGGCACTCATATTTTCAAATTCCCTCCCATTAAATATTAGACAAGTGCCATCTCTACAGTCATACCTCATCCTGTGTTCTGCTCTTCTTATGGACTTTCAGCTTACGAACGCGGCAAACCTGGAAGTATTGACTTCTGGGTTCTCTGCTTGCACATGTGCAGAAGCAATCTGTGTGCTTTGCACACATGCAGAAGCGCTTGATCGCTCCGTGCACATGCACGGAAGAGGCGCTCTAGTTGAGGACTTTTCAGGGTGTGAACGGCACCCCAAAATGGATTAAGTCTGCAACTAGAGGTACAGTGGTACCTCAGGTTACATGTGCTTCAGGTTACAGATGCTTCAGGTTACAGACTCCACTAACCCAGAAATAGTACCTCAGGTTAAGAACTTTGCTTCAGGATGAGAACAGAAATCGTGTGGCAGCGGCGCGGCAGCAGCGGGAGGCGCCATTAGCTAAAGTGGTGCTTCAGGTTAAGAACAGTTTCAGGTTAAGAATGGACCTCTGGAACAAATTAAGTACGTAACCAGAGGTACAACTGTACCACTGTATTGTCTTTTTGGTGCTTGCCAAAGACCTTCCTTTTCCAACATGCCTATTAAGAAGAGATTTTTCTCAGTCTGCATCTGTGCTGGAATTGTCCAAACAGCTATTCATGTCAAAAACTTCGCTGCGCCTCATTTGACTTCTCCTTTTTGTCATTCGATAGAATTTTTGCTCTCAAGTAGCTCCTATGCAATAAGGCTATTACTAATAATGAGCCTGGGGAGGCCATTGAATGGTCATAAATAAGGGATAGCCAATGTGGTGCCCTCCAGGTGTTGCTGGACTCCAAGTCTCATCAGCACCTGTCATCATGGCCAATGTTCAAAGATGATGGGAGCTGTAGTCTAACATCACCTGGAGGACATGTTTTGTTATCCCTGCCAATTATGAATTTAGATCCATGTGTCTCCAGTTTCATTTTGTACATTAAAACACCAAACTGTTTGGGAATGAACTAAAAAAGAAGAAAAGATAAGGAAGATAACCCAGAAAAAATACTTTAAAAAAATAGTCAACTTCCAACTGATCTCAGTGGAAACCAAGTTAATTTTTAATGATAAAGATTAAAAACAATGAATATCAACCTCATATAAAATGCACTGAGTGGGTTACAACATCCACAGTGTATCCATATAGCATTCCGGAGAAGGGGTAGGAACAAACCTACTAGAGGAATGCATTAAAGATTTCCATCGCAGCAACATCAAGATATCATTTTTAACAAATGCCCCACTGACACCTATTTTCCAAACCACTTGACTAAGCACAGTTTAAAAGAATAGATCAAGAGCAGCAAACTACATTTTGGCTCTGCCAAGTGTCAGAATATTATTTAACATAGATGTAAAATCTACAGCAAGGGACTGTTTATAGGGCTAGCACAGGACAAGATATCAATTTGATGTCTCTCCCTCACTTGCTCTCAGAAGCAAAGAGCTGGAGCTTTTCTTGCAACTGCCCTATAATTTTCACAGACCTCCGGCATTCATGTTGTCTTCTTATTGAACACGGCAGAGTTATCCTTACAGTACCACAAATGACATAGCAGGGAGAATGTTCTATTCAACAAAGGAGTCACTGATTTGAATCCCACAATGATTAGTATTGATTTCGAATTAGCAGTGGTGAATAAAACAACTGCAGCATTTCCAAGTACTCACACACCAGCCTTCTCCATCCTTTGCTTTCAGGTATTACACTGAACCTTCACTTTATAACAGGAAGGCACTGGTATTGTACAGAACAAACTGGAGGTCACCTGAGTCTTTGAACTTTGGTGTCTATATTTTATTGCACAGCTGATGCCTAGTACTGGCCTTCCAAGTGTCTCTATTTTCCAGGGACAGTCCTGGATTTACAGAAGCCATCCTGGTTTCTGATTGGACCGGAATGTCCCGCTTTTCCTTAGGATGTCCCTATTTAGATGGAAGAAATGTTGGAGAGTATGGTAGGATGTCCCTATGTTCATTGGAGAAATGTTAGAGGGTATGGAGTTATGTGACCCCCAAGCCAAGTAACTATATAACCTTTAGAAGACATCTGAAGGCAGCCCTGTATAGGGTGGTTGTTGTTGTTTTTTTTAAAAAAAGTTTTATGTTTTATTATGCTTTTATATAGGTTGGAAGCCACCCAGAGTGGCTAGGGCAACCTAGTCAGATGGGCGGAGTATAATAATAATAATAATAATAATAATAATAATAATAATAGAATAGAAAGTGCCTATTTTCATCAGAGAAATGTTGGAAGGTATGGGACTGGCCATATAAAACAGTGACAGTAGTTGTTAATTACAATGGTGCCACTAGTAATGCCAGTAACTTCCAGATTGGATTACTGCAAGGCACTCTGCATGGGACTGAGAAACTTCAGCTGGTCTGAAATGCAGTGGCAGATTATGGACTGCGGTTGACTTTAGAATTCATACAACCTGGTTTTCATTGCCTGCTAGTTCATTTCCAGGCAAAATTAAAGGTACTCATGTTAGTGTTTAAAGCCCTAAACAACTTGAGGAGGGGGAGAAAAAATTATTCCAAGGAGCTCAAGGTGGTAGACAAGTTGATTAAAAAAATGCAGTAAATAAATAAAATGATTAAGATTGCATTGCTGTTGGGATAGCATCACTGAATATGAACCAACAGAAGAAAAAAGCCTATTCCAAAACCTATCAGTAGATTCAGTACCATAAGTAGCAATTTTTCTGTCCCATAGAAATCTCCCAATTATACAGACATGCGGACAAATGAAAGAAAAGCCGCCTTGGAGTTTATATATAATACATAAAGAAGTTCAATATGTAAAACAGAAGCTACTCTTGGACAGACTCAGCTGGGAGTGGTAGGTAAAACTGAAGGGAAATTAAGAATGGTTAATGATACTTCTTCTGAAATTAAAATTCCTCACTGCTCAGTATTGCTTCTTCTGTACCACAGTACACTAGATCAGAAGATATTGCAACCAGATCAAGGGATAAAGAGACTAGATGCAATTAGTGGGTTGAAGTAGGGCCACATCTTCCTCTGGGCTGGCCACAACCAATGTTTCCAATTTCTGCCTCCCTTTTGAGCATTAATTGTGGTCGACATTTGTACCGTGTCTGGTTAATGCACAGAGCCAGTATGAAGCTTCAAGGTGCCACTCTGCTTGCCCCATGAGATCAGGATATGTCGGCTAGCCAAGCCAAGTGGGGAAAAGGCTGTAGTTCAGAGTACATGCTCTGCATGCAAAAGGTCCTAAGTTCAATCTTTGGCATCTCTAGTTAGAGTTGGAAAAAGGCTCTTGTCTGAAATCAAGGACACTTGCTGTCAGTTACTCTAGACCAGGCATAGGCAAACTCTGGCCCTCTAGATGTTTTGGAACTACAATTCCCATCATCCCTAGCTAACAGGACCAGTGGTCAGGGCTGATGGGAATCGTAGTCTCAAAACATCTGGAGGGCCGGAATTTGCCTATGCCTGCTCTAGACTGAGTGTGGAGAACCTTAGGCCCTTCAGACATTGCTGAACTACAATGCCCACCTTCCTTGGTTATTGGCCATACTTTCTCGGGTTTATGGAAGTTGCAGTTCAGCAACATCTGGAGGTCCAAAGGTTCCTCACACCAGCTTGAGACAATACTGAACTAGATGGATCAATGGTCTGGATTGGTACGATACAGCTTTCTATAGGGAAGAACATCTCCTCCCACTTTATCAAATGGGTTTGGGCAAGAGACAATGTTTGTGATACATATAACAGATGTGGCAATGAATGGCCAAAAATGAATGCAGGCAGCTGAGCATAAATTAGCACATGTTCTTCCTTGGGTACATAGCTGACTGATTGCTGAGGACCTGTGGAAGCAGAGATACATTTTCCAGGAATTTGGTTAAACAATTGGGGGGGGGGGATGTCAACCTGTGCCCATTTTAAACATATTTTGCAGATGTGGCCCTAAACTAAACATTAGTTTAGTTATTGATGGTCCAAGCTCTTCAACAATGGAAGATACTACATTGGAAGATGGTGGACTCATTGAGATTTGAAAGCAGCAGCTCGATGGCCACCTATCCGAAATGCTGTAATAGTTGATCTCTTGCATCAAAAGGGAGTTACACTAGATAACCAGGGGTAGGCAACCTAAGGCCCGGGGGCTGGATGCAACCCAATTGCCTTCTCAATCCAGCCCGCGGACGGTCTAGGAATCAGCGTGTTTTTACATGAGTAGAATGTGTCCTTTTATTTAAAATGCATCTCTGGGTTCTCTGTGGGGCCTGTCTGGTGTTTTTTCATGAGTAGAGTGTGTGCTTTTATTTAAAATGCATCTCTGGGTTATTTGTGGGGTATAGGAATTTGTTCATTTCCCCCCTTCCCCAAAAAAATATAGTCCGGCCCACCACATGGTCTGAGGGACAGTGGACTGGCCCACGGCTGAAAAAGGTTGTTGACCCCTGCTAGATGACCTTTGAGGTTCCTTCCAGATCTATGTTTCTGTGAAATGAAGCACAAATGGTGGGAAGGTGGCATGCCATAGGGCTGGAAAACTTATGAGGAACTGGGTCTGGGAAGTAAGGAGTCTAAGGTTGGCAACACAATATGTAAGTTGATTAAGGAAGGGATTAAAGGGATTAAAGAAGGAGCCTGAGGGAGGAAAGCTGGAGAAGACAAGAATTTAAGGAAAGAGGGACAGGAGAGGCACAGGTAAAGTAGGCCTGGAAGCCTTGGGGAAGTGTGGTCAGGACATTTAGTTGTAAGCCTTTAATGTACATAGGGAGTGCCAAAAGTGTATAAAGAACAGAACATGCTAACCCACTGCTTTCCTGCTTAGCATAAAAATAGGAAAATATCTGAGAAATATTAAAAGAACCCTTGGAAGTTTCAACTTTTGACCTACTTTATTATTCCTTATATCTGTTTTTTAAATTTTTTTTTCTATGCCTTCGCTAGACATTTCCCTCAGTGAAAAGTCTTCAATACTCTTCTTCGCTTTCATAAAAATATCCTGACAAGGCATCCCTCTTGGGCATCCCTACAATAGCTAACTAATACAGTGTGTTTGTTTATGGATGAAAAAAGTAATAAAACATAAGGAAGCAGGAGATACTTCCTTCTGAGGTCAAAGAAGAAATTTATAAAATGAATGTGAGCTGAAATCCAATGTATTTAAAATCAGGGAAGCTACTCCAGCAGGCTACTCCTGTGCAGATCCTAACTGTAATTGATTTTGTTATTATTTCAAGGCTACACTAACTTGCAATTTATTGCATGTGTTTTAGTCTGTTGCTAGTGTAAGGCTCCAGAAATAAATTTTGCCATATATTGTCTTTCCTTACCTCTCAGAGCTGGGGAGTGCATAGATTTTGAGGTCATTGACGCCTAGTCAGCTGATCCTCTATACATAAACAAGAACTATCGAATTTCACCCAGTGACTCCAATATTAGGGCATTCAGTAATTGTCTTGGACAAATATTTAGGACAATATCTGGCTTTAATCAAGAGACCTCCAGGAGAATCCCTTCCTTAAAACATGGTTTATAATTTTGCAAAGGAGTCTGACAATGCTGCCACTGATGATATTATTTAACACCAGCTTTACATAATGAGATGAGAGAAGGCCAAACGAGATGTGACATGAAGCATGTGATTATTCTTTACATCTGATTTTGTTTTTGTTTTTTTGGTATTCCTAATTAGCAGCCACGAGGGACGTGATATTCCATCTCTTCACATCCATACACAGAGATGTGGGAGATTATTTCCTATGGTGAAATCCCACATAGCCTTTACATGAGTACATAAATACCCATAAATACCCATCGCTACCACCTGTTCTCACTAGATGGCTATGGATTTTCTCGGCAGATTTTGAAAACATGAGTCTAGAATTATAGTATATAGGATAGAACCAATAATGAGACTTGCCACACACACACACACGCATCTGAACATCTTCCATCGTTTCCCTTTTGCAAATAGACCCAATTGACTTAAATTAATATTTAGTATAATTAG